AAAAAACCAAAACCCAAACCACTTAGTTGCCCCTACTTAGTGATAAATTCATTTATGACTTATCGGAACGGAACCCTTTGTTAAGTGAGGAGAGGTGTAAAAACAATGTTAAAAATAGTAATTGGGAAAAAGGATGTGCAATTTTAGGAAAAGCTTTAAATGGAAATAAAGAGTTTTATGAATATTTTTTTTTCATACGGAGTTTGGGAATTTTTAGAAAAAACCCCCTTGGCCTTCAAGGGACTGCTTGGCAAATATTTTATCTGTTTTAGAAAATGTTGTAGCTGATTTCCATGCAGGTATGATTTATGTGACTCCAGTCAATTTACTTTTTGATGTGATTTTTCAAAATGTCTTTCTTTTGGCTCTTTTGTCATTATTTAACTTTCTATCTGACAGACTTTGGAAAAATAGGACAGAATCTGCTGGGTTAATGTGGAAATGGACAAAGTCTGTTGTTTACAGAATTGTTATTGTTACAGTCGTGGCAAGGCAGTTTCATCTCTATCTTCCACAATCGTCACTATCAGCCATTCATGTTTCTCTCTTAGTACATTAACTTGAAGGTTTACTGCAATACTATCAGTATTTTATTATCATCGTTACTATAGCAAACACACTGTTACTTTGCATTACAGAATTTGATAGTAATGCAATTCTAAAAGAACAGCCAAAGAATTTGATAACATTTCACTATAAATGTGAAATTTCTTTTAGGTGGCAACATAGAAGTTCAGATGGCGGTTCATGTTGCTCAGTGGAAGGCTCACAGTCCCACCTCTGCTCTCTACCACCTGCGTCAGACAGCTCTTGCTCTTCAGGACCTACAGCTGCTGTCAGACAAATTTAGAATCAAAATACAATTCAGTCAGTATACGCAGGTGAGTATTGACCTCAGTGGGTCCATATTATGGAAGCATTGGATAACATTCTGTTTGTAGTAAAGTCAGTTTAGTGGAGATTGTAGTAAAGTCTGCCCCCTCATGTTCTTTATTATCAGGAAGAGAGAGTTGTTTCAGCTTTACTAGACTGGCAAGTGTGCAGTTACAGGTATTTTATTAGTGATAGTTAAAATTTTTGCTCTGTGGCCAATTCTACACTTGTTGCTATCATGGGAAAATAGTGATTGTTTGAGAGGAATGCAGAGGAGAGAGAGAGATTTTGGGAGATGTTAAGTGAATGTATAGGAGCCTTTGAACCAAGTGAGAGAGTAATTGTGGTAGGGGACCTGAATGCTAAAGTAGGAGAAACTTTTAGAGAGGGTGTGGTAGGTAAGTTTGGGATGCCAGGTGTAAATGATAATGGGAGCCCTTTGATTGAACTCTGTATAGAAAGGGGTTTAGTTATAGGTAATAAATATTTTAAGAAAAAGAGGATAAATAAGTATACAAGATATGATGTAGGGCAAAATGACAGTAGTTTGTTGGATTATGTATTGGTAGATAAAAGACTGTTGAGTAGACTTCAGGATGTACATGTTTATAGAGGGGCCACAGATATATCAGATCACTTTCTAGTTGTAGCTACACTGAGAGTAAAAGGTAGATGGTGTACAAGGAGAATAGAAGCATCAGGGAAGAGAGAGGTGAAGGTTTATAAACTAAAAGAGGAGGCAGTTAGGGAAAGATATAAACAGCTATTGGAGGATAGATGGGCTAATGAGAGCATAGGCAATGGGGTCGAAGAGGTATGGGGTAGGTTTAAAAATGTAGTGTTAGAGTGTTCAGCAGAAGTTTGTGGTTACAGGAAAGTGGGTGCGGGAGGGAAGAGGAGCAATTGGTGGAATGATGATGTAAAGAGAGTAGTAAGGGAGAAAAAGTTAGCATATGAGAAGTTTTTACAAAGTAGAAGTGATGCAAGGAGGGAAGAGTATATGGAGAAAAAGAGAGAGGTTAAGAGAGTGGTGAAGCAATGTAAAAAGAGAGCAAATGAGAGAGTGGGTGAGATGTTATCAACAAATTTTGTTGAAAATAAGAAAAAGTTTTGGAGTGAGATTAACAAGTTAAGGAAACCCTAGAGAACAAATGGATTTGTCATTTTAAAATAGGAGAGGAGAGTTATTAAATGGAGAGTTAGAGGTATTGGGAAGATGGAGGGAATATTTTGAGGAATTGTTAAATGTTGATGAAGATAGGGAAGCTGTGATTTCGTGTATAGGGCAGGGAGGAATAACATCTTGTAGGAGTGAGGAAGAGCCAGTTGTGAGTGTGGGGGAAGTTCGTGAGGCAGTAGGTAAAATGAAAGGGGGTAAGGCAGCCGGGATTGATGGGATAAAGATAGAAATGTTAAAAGCAGGTGGGGATATAATTTTGGAGTGGTTGGTGCAATTATTTAATAAATGTATGGAAGAGGGTAAGGTACCTAGGGATTGGCAGAGAGCATGCATAGTTCCTTTGCATAAAGGCAAAGGGGACAAAAGAGAGTGCAAAAATTATAGGGGGATAAGTCTGTTGAGTATACCTGGTAAAGTGTATGGTAGAGTTATTATTGAAAGAATTAAGAGTAAGACGGAGAATAGGATAGCAGATGAACAAGGAGGCTTTAGGAAAGGTAGGGGTGTGTGGACCAGGTGTTTACAGTGAAACATATAAGTGAACAGTATTTAGATAAGGCTAAAGAGGTCTTTGTGGCATTTATGGATTTGGAAAAGGCATATGACAGGGTGGATAGGGGGCAATGTGGCAGATGTTGCAGGTGTATGGTGTAGGAGGTACGTTACTGAAAGCGGTGAAGAGTTTTTACGAGGATAGTGAGGCTCAAGTTAGAGTATGTAGGAAAGAGGGAAATTATTTCCCAGTAAAAGTAGGCCTTAGACAAGGATGTGTGATGTCACCGTGGTTGTTTAATATATTTATAGATGGGGTTGTAAGAGAAGTAAATGCGAGGGTCTTGGCAAGAGGCGTGGAGTTAAAAGATAAAGAATCACACATAAAGTGGGAGTTGTTACAGTTGCGCTTTGCTGATGACACTGTGCTCTTGGGAGATTCTGAAGAGAAGTTGCAGAGATTGGTGGATGAATTTGGTAGGGTGTGAAAAAGAAGAAAATTAAAAGTGAATACAGGAAAGAGTAAGGTTATGAGGATAACAAAAAGATTAGGTGATGAAAGATTGGATATCAGATTGGAGGGAGAGAGTATGGAGGAGGTGAATGTATTCAGATATTTGGGAGTGGACGTGTCAGCGGATGGGTCAATGAAGGATGAGGTGAATCATAGAATTGATGAGGGGAAAAGGGTGAGTGGTGCACTTAGGAGTCTGTGGAGACAAAGAACTTTGTCCTTGGAGGCAAAGAGGGGAATGTATGAGAGTATAGTTTTACCAATGCTCTTATATGGGTGTGAAGCATGGGTGATGAATGTTGCAGCAAGGAGAAGGCTGGAGGCAGTGGAGATGTCATGTCTGAGGGCAATGTGTGGTGTGAATATAATGCAGAGAATTCGTAGTTTGGAAGTTAGGAGGAGGTGCGGGATTACCAAAACTGTTGTCCAGAGGGCTGAGGAAGGGTTGTTGAGGGTGGTTCGGACATGTAGAGAGAATGGAGCGAAACAGAATGACTTCAAGAGTGTATCAGTCTGTAGTGGAAGGAAGGCGGGGTAGGGGCTTGGACTTCCAGCAGGCGTGTGTGAGCGTGTTTGATAGGAGTGAATGGAGACGAATGGTTTTTAATACTTGATGTGCTGTTGGAGTGCGAGCAAAGTAACATTTATGAAGGGGTTCAGGAAAACCGGTAGGCCGGACTTGAGTCCTGGAGATGGGAAGTACAGTGCCTGCACTCTGAAGGAGGGGTGTTAATGTTGCAGTTTAAAAACTGTAGTGTAAAGCACCCTTCTGGCAAGACAGTGATGGAGTAAATGATGGTGAAAGTTTTTCTTTTTCGGGCCACCCTGCCTTGGTGGGAATCGGCCAGTGTGATAATAAAAATAATAAAAAAAATTGAGCGTTACTGGACTGGCTAGTGTGTGTGGTGAAGTCTCCTTTCATGGATCATTATGTCAGTGTTACAGATGCTTTTTATTATTTAAGTAAATTTAGTGAATTTTTGTGATAGGCTCTATACTTAATGCAAGAAAACAGATAGAAGTTTTAGTTTTGCAAGTGTGTATTTACGTATTTTTTTTTTTAACATGCTGGTCGTCTCCCACTGAGGCAGGGTAATCCGAGAAACACCTTAACCATCATTCACACTATTATTGTGTTGCCAAAGTTGCACAGATACCACAGTGCAGATGTCCCTCTAGACAGCATATATCCCAAGCCCCTCCTTTAGAGTGCAAGTACTGTACTTCCCACCTCCAGGACTCAAGTCTGGCTAACTGGATAAGTGAATTTAATAGGCATTTTACTCTGATAATTTCTACACATATTTTTTTTGTTATCACAGGAAAACAAAGAGATGGTTGTTTCAGCATTACTTGGCTGGCTAGTGTGTGGTGAAGAAGTCTCTCCACTAATGGATGGATTTTTACATTCTTACCTCATACGCCACGAACTTGATCATGATGGCACTCTGGCTCACTATGTGCTGGACACCCTGGCTTCAGCTGGGCAGGACTGGTGGGCTTATGGAGAGGCCTCCTGGGAAGACAAACTTTATGCTGTCATAAGTATCATATCTGATGCTCAGGTGAGGTAACACTGTTAATTTCTACACAATTTTAACATTTTTTCAACATGATTCACAGATGGAAACACAATAGCTGTCTTGTTAAAAGTGCACAGACAGCACAGTTTACGTGACCTTTGAATCACAACATCCCAACCCATCCTTCAAAGTGCAGTCACTGTTACTTTCCAGTTAAAAAACTGAAATGCACCTAACTGGTATCCCTGAACCCCTTGGTAAATATTGTTATGCTCACACTCCAACAGCACATCAAATCCAAACTTGTCTCCACTTAAAATTTTGGAAAAAAATTTGTGAGAGTTGAGTTTACTTATGAAATGTTTAAAAGGTTACTAAAAGTGATAAGCATATTAGAAAAGAGCACTAGGCCTACTGGCCCTTGCTAGGCAATTTTTACACACCCAAGTTTTCTCACTCATTTCCCTCTAGCCTATTTTTTAAAATCTATTTTAGGCATTAGCTTCAGCTGTACTAATTGACCACTTTGTTCCACTTTTAAATCCTCTTTTTTAAACCCAGTTTTGTATGATATATGTTTATCTTTTACAGTAATGTTAATGTTAAACCAGTACTTGTGTGAGGTGTTTTATTTATACAGTAATGTTTTTGTTAAACCAGTACTTGTGTGAGGTGTTTTATCTTATACAGTAATGTTATTGTTAAACCAGTACTTGTGTGAGGTGTTTTTTCTTATCCCAGTAATGTTTTGGTTAAACCAGTACTTGTGTGAGGTGTTTTATCTTTATACAGTAATGTTATTGTTAAACAGGTACTTGTGTGAGGTGTTTTATCTTTACAGTAATTTTTATTTTTTAAACCCAGTACTTGGTGAGGTTTTTTTATCTTATACAGTAATTTTTTTGTTAAACCAGTACTTGTGTGAGGTGTTTTATCTTATACAGTAATGTTATTGTTAAACCAGTACTTGTGTGAGGTGTTTTATTTTTTTACAGTAATGTTTTGTTAAACCAGTATCTGTGTGAGGTGTTTTATCTTATACAGTAATTTTTTAAATAATAATGATAACTTCCAAAAGGGACAGCCTCAAATTCATTTTTTCTTTGATATAGTGAATGGTAGCAAGTTGTTTTGTGATCAGCTGACTTAGGATTCAGCTTCCACCAATGCTTGCACTAAATGACCCACACGGCTTAGTGCTTTAAAATCAATAAAAACCCATTTTTTTATATACTAGTGATGCATTTCAGGTACGCGCTCATTGTATACTGGGTGTCTCCGTGTAGCTTCCCGTACCCTGGAGTCCTGGACACAAGCTGCATGTAATTCTAGGCCTTTCTCATAAAAGCACTCTGAGCTGCAAATTGGAGGATCAGAGACGTTGTGGATCTGAAGCTTGTCTTGAGAAAATATGACCTTCATCTTATCAGAAATTGATATAGCAAGAATGCAGAGGTGAGATAGCATTTCTTGAATTAGTGCAAAGTTAAGTTGCATCAGGGATTTATAAGTACCAGCAGTGTAGATCTCATTAGTTTAAAAATAATTAGGTAACGCAGTGCTCCATTTCCATTATTCACCAGATTTTGGGATGTTTACCCGGAGTATACCTAATTGGGCCGTGGGGGTCACACCCCCATGGCCCAGTCCATGACCACAAAACAATGTATGAACCACAGCCTGGCTGGTCAGGTACTGACTTTAGGTGCCTGTACAGTCCCTCTTGAACAGTGGTAGTTTTCAGTGGGAAATTGGATGTCTATTGTGATGCCTGATCAGTGGAATTGTGATGGCCCTTCCTTCAAGGTGTCTTGATGTTGTTAAAGGGGTCTTTAGCCAAAGACTTGGAGCTGGTCCTACCTTTCCTTGTGATCCCCGTGGGTTTAGCACTCCATCTCCCATAAATGTAATAATAATGTGATAGTCATGTGGATAGTTGCATGTGTTTTCAGTAGCATCAGCAACATGGTTGACCAAATGGACAGGACAGTCAGGTCTCAGGTGGGCTACTAGGGTAAAAGAATTTCCCTTTAAAATGGCCATTTGGCATGTGAAGATAAGATTTGTTCAGATTTTTAGTCAGGGTGTTAGCCACCCCGGATAACCTAATAGTTGTGCATTTATAGAGGACTGTTTGCCCTTTGTTCCCTTGTGGTCCTTCAGTCTTGTTCCCAGGATGCCCCGCACAACGGTCAATTAACACTCAAGTACCTACTTACTGTTAGGTGAACAGGGACAGCTGGTGTAAGGAAACATGCCCAATGTTTCCACCTGTACCCGGGATTGAACCACAGACACTCAGTGTATGAGGCTGAGAGCGTTACCATTTGGAATTCTACCAGAGGCAGATGAATGCCTGAAGGAAAAAACTCATTTCCCAAAACACTCGGGCAGTAAACATTAATCTTTGGGTGGAAAATGGCCAGCGTGGTAAATGATACCATTTTTCTTGTATCCTTTTTTTTTTTATTGTTTTTGTTGCAGATGATGCTGGAAAATATATTATCTCATGATGGAAGAACAGATGTGTTAGAGGACGCACTTCATTGGTTTGCTTCATACAAACATCTCTCTCGCATTGATGTTATGTTACGAGGACCAAGTATCTTCTTAACACACGTACGTATTTTGCTACTCATTATCGGAGGAAAAGTCTTACATATGTGCAAGGTGACACAGTTCTTTAATACACTTAATGAAATATGACTTAATTGGGTGGGGAAAATATAGTTTGGAGAGTGATTTGAGTAACGAATTTTGCACATTTCAAGTAAGGTAGCTGTTGAAAGATGAAAGTTCTTTTTTTTTTAAAGTTGTTGTATCTTGGTAAGAGTCAGCAGATGTTGGAAAAAATCTAAATTTCAATTACATTAATTGGAATCTTAAAATGAATTGACTTGCCTTGCGTGTCATGAGAGGAGACTGAAATGTTGGGAGCAAAGGGTTAGTAACCCCTTCTCCTATATACATTACTAAAGTCAAAAAGAGAAACTTTTGTTTTTCTTTTTTGGGCCACCCTACGTTGGTGGGATACGGCCGTTTTTGTTGAAAGAAGAAAGAAAGAAAAAGAAGAAAAACAAAAGTTTTTCTTTTTACATTTAGCAATACAACTGTACCAAGTGAGAGAGTAATTGTGGTAGGGGACCTGAATGCTAAAGTAGGAGAAACTTTTAGAGAGGGTGTGGTAGGTAAGTTTGGGGTGCCAGGTGTAAATGATAATGGGAGCCCTTTGATTGAACTTTGTATAAAAAGGGGTTTAGTTATAGGTAATACATATTTTAAGAAAAAGAGGATAAATAAGTATACAAGATATGATGTAGGGCGAAATGACAGTAGTTTGTTGGATTATGTATTGGTAGATAAAAGACTGTTGAGTAGACTTCAGGATGTACATGTTTATAGAGGGGCCACAGATATATCAGATCACTTTCAAGTTGTAGCTACACTGAGAGTAAAAGGTAGATGGGATACAAGGAGAATAGAAGCATCAGGGAAGAGAGAGGTGAAGGTTTATAAACTAAAAGACGAGGCAGTTAGGGTAAGATATAAACAGCTATTGGAGGATAGATGGGCTAATGAGAGCATAGGCAATGGGGTCGAAGAGGTATGGGGTAGGTTTAAAAATGTAGTGTTAGAGTGTTCAGCAGAAGTTTGTGGTTACAGGAAAGTGGGTGCGGGAGGGAAGAGGAGCGATTGGTGGAATGATGATGTGAAGAGAGTAGTAAGGGAGAAAAAGTTAGCATATGAGAATTTTTTTACAAAGTAGAAGTGATGCAAGGAGGGAAGAGTATATGGAGAAAAAGAGAGAGGTTAAGAGAGTGGTGAAGCAATGTAAAAAGAGAGCAAATGAGAGAGTGGGTGAGATGTTATCAACAAATTTTGTTGAAAATAAGAAAAAGTTTTGGGAGTGAGATTAACAAGTTAAGAAAGCCTAGAGAACAAATATATTTGTCAGTTAAAAATAGGAGAGGAGAGTTATTAAATGGAGAGTTAGAGGTATTGGGAAGATGGAGGGAATATTTTGAGGAATTGTTAAATGTTGATGAAGATAGGGAAGCTGTGATTTCGTGTATAGGGCAAGGAGGAACAACATCTTGTAGGAGTGAGGAAGAGCCAGTTGTGAGTGTGGGGGAAGTTCGTGAGGCAGTAGGTAAAATGAAAGGGGGTAAGGCAGCCAGGATTGATGGGATAAAGATAGAAATGTTAAAAGCAGGTGGGGATATAGTTTTGGAGTGGTTGGTGCAATTATTTAATAAATGTATGGAAGAGGGTAAGGTACCTAGGGATTGGCAGAGAGCATGCATAGTTCCTTTGTATAAAGGCAAAGGGGATAAAAGAGAGTGCAAAAATTATAGGGGGATAAGTCTGTTGAGTTTTAGGTAGTAGGTTGGTAGACAGCAACTGCCCAGGGAGGTACTACCGTCCTGCCAAGTGAGTGTAAAACGAAAGCCTGTAATTGTTTTACATGATGGTAGGATTGCTGGTGTCCTTTTTTCTGTCTCATGAACATGCAAGATTTCAGGTACGTCTTGCTACTTCTACTTACACTTAGGTCACACTACACATACATGTACAAGCACATATATACACACCCCTGTGGGTTTTCTTCCATTTTCTTTCTAGTTCTTATTCTTGTTTATTTCCTCTTATCTCCATGGGGAAGTGGAACAGAATTCTTCCTCCGTAAGCCATGCGTGTTGTAAGAGGCGACTAAAATGCCGGGAGCAAGGGGCTAGTAACCTCTTCTCCTGTATATATTACTAAATGTAAAAGGAGAAACTTTCGTTTTTCCTTTTGGGCCACCCCGCCTCGGTGGGATACGGCCGGTGTGTTGAAAGAAGAAGTCTGTTGAGTATACCTGGCAAAGTGTATGGTAGAGTTATTATTGAAAGAATTAAGAGTAAGACGGAGAATAGGATAGCAGATGAACAAGGAGGCTTTAGGAAAGGTAGGGGGTGTGTGGACCAGGTGTTTACAGTGAAACATATAAGTGAACAGTATTTAGATAAGGCTAAAGAGGTCTTTGTGGCATTTATGGATTTGGAAAAGGCTTATGACAGGGTGGATAGGGGGGCAATGTGGCAGATGTTGCAGGTGTATGGTGTAGGAGGTAGGTTACTGAAAGCAGTGAAGAGTTTTTACGAGGATAGTGAGGCTCAAGTTAGAGTGTGTAGGAAGGAGGGAAATTATTTCCCAGTAAAAGTAGGCCTTAGACAGGGATGTGTGATGTCACCGTGGTTGTTTAATATATTTATAGATGGGGTTGTAAGAGAAGTAAATGCGAGGGTCTTGGCAAGAGGCGTGGAGTTAAAAGATAAAGAATCACACATAAAGTGGGAGTTGTCACAGTTGCTCTTTGCTGATGACACTGTGCTCTTGGGAGATTCTGAAGAGAAGTTGCAGAAATTGGTGGATGAATTTGGTAGGGTGTGCAAAAGAAGAAAATTGAAAGTGAATACAGGAAAGAGTAAGGTTATGAGGATAACAAAAAGATTAGGTGATGAAAGATTGGATATCAGATTGGAGGGAGAGAGTATGGAGGAGGTGAATGTATTCAGATATTTGGGAGTGGACGTTTTCAGCGGATGGGTCTATGAAAGATGAGGTGAATCATAGAATTGATGAGGGGAAAAGGGTGAGTGGTGCACTTAGGAGTCTGTGGAGACAAAGAACTTTGTCCTTGGAGGCAAAGAGGGGAATGTATGAGAGTATAATTTTACCAACACTCTTATATGGGTGTGAAGCATGGGTGATGAATGTTGCAGTGAGGAGAAGGCTGGAGGCAGTGGAGATGTCATGTCTGAGAGCAATGTGTGGTGTGAATATAATGCAGAGAATTCGTAGTTTGGAAGTTAGGAGGAGGTGCGGGATTACCAAAACTGTTGTCCAGAGGGCTGAGGAAGGGTTGTTGAGGTGGTTCGGACATGTGGAGAGAATGGAGCGAAACAGAATAACTTCAGGAGTGTATCAGTCTGTAGTGGAAGGAAGGCGGGGTAGGGGTCGGCCTAGGAAAGGTTGGAGGGAGGAGGTAAAGGAGGTTTTGTGTGCGAGGGGCTTGGACTTCCAGCAGGCATGCGTGAGCGTGTTTGATAGGAGTGAATGGAGACAAATGGTTTTTAATACTTGACGTGCTGTTGGAGTGTGAGCAAAATAACATTTATGAAGGGGTTCAGGGAAACCGGCAGGCCGGACTTGAGTCCTGGAGATGGGAAGTACAGTGCCTGCACTCTGAAGGAGGGATGTTAATGTTGCAGTTTAAAAACTGTAGTGTAAAGCACCCTTCTGGCAAGACAGTGATGGAGTGAATGATGGTGAAAGTTTTTCTTTTTCGGGCCACCCTGCCTTGGTGGGAATCGGCCAGTGTGATAATAAAAAAATAATAATAACTGTGCAATATATTTGGCAGGAATGTTGATGGTGTGAAGGAACTCTTACAAACATCAAATGATAACCTCCAGCGACAAATTTGTCAGAAGTTACTGAGGTATGCTGTTGAAACTCTACTGCTTCCACCTATAGGACACAAGGTACAGTATAGCTTCTCTATTTTTAATTCCTTTCAAGGAAAGTGTGCCTTGATCCTGGTGAAAGGCTCTTGATCAGAAGAATTGGAGGTGCCCTCCCTTTCCTTGGAGCAAACATTTACCATTCCTTAGGTACTCTATGACATTAGATGCTCTGATGCATTAGACACATTGCAATTTAGAAGGTAATAATCAGAAAAAAGTTAAGAATGCCTAATACCAAGTAATATTTACTCCAGTGATTTTACATGTAGAAATATGGTTACATTTAATTTATGGGTTGGTCAAAACATATGATAGGCCTAGTGCTCACCTGAACACCCCAATTATCTCTCAATTTGAACTGGTGAAACAGTCGCTGGTGACTGAGTTGCTGCTGTGTGCGCAACTGTATATAGTGAGGCTCCCAGAATGCATACTGATGCATCTTTGTCAGTGACTATCGGTATAAACGAAAATGGATGCTTCAGCTGTTGTACCATAACATACAGTAAGTATGATTACCAGTACCTAGTAATAAAGTGAAAATACTAAGCATGTGCTAATGATAGAGTACTATACGTAGCATTGTTTTAAAGTGCCTACCATAAATGATGCTGCTTTGTGACTTCGGTAGTTTAAGAAATAAGAAAGGAAGGTGTTACTTAAGGAGGAATTTCGTCAATATCCCAGTACAGTATCCGTATTTCATAAATTGCTTGTCTCAAAACATTATTAATTTACTGTATTTTGAAACACTGGACTTGTTTTAGTTTTACTGGCTCGGCATCGGACATAACTGGAAGAGCTACAGCCCACCCCATGCTTATAGCTCCCGTCACTGACCTTCAGTTTATAGGATGCAGGCTGGTTTTTGGGGACATTTCATGGGAAAAAAATGTGTCTAATAGCCCGAAATACAGTAATCGCTTTACATGGCTAAATATAATTTTCTTTGTTAATGTTATTCTGTTTTATGAGAAAATTTACATTGCTTATTTCATTAAGGTAATAATTTAGTATCCCTTGTTGGGTATTTGTTTTTTATTTTCCTGGTATAAACACTATGTATCTTGTTAATACCCCATGTTTTTCTGGTCAGTTTTGCTAAGTAATTTATTATGTTGTTACTAACACTGGTTGAATTACCAACAGAACGTTAGGTAAATGGACACAGATGCAACTACTGTGACAATTTATTGTGGCAATGTATCACTCTCCAGGAGCAAAACTTTGCCAAAATAGTGTTACATTAGTTGCATCTGTGTCCATTTACCCAATATTTTGTGATTACCTGAGGGAGAGGAGTCAGAAGTCATTAAGCTTATTACTTAAGTATGAGGAAACTGACGAGGGGAAGGAGTATGGAGGAAGTGGGTTGATTTAAGAGCTTGTGTCTGAATGGGTGTACGAATGACGAGGTATATCATAGAATAGATAAGAAGAAGAAGACAACTGGGGTGTTGAGTCTGGAAAACAGTAGTAGTCTATTCAATAGATGCAAAAATTCAGAGAGTGGAAGAGTTACTGACATGGTTTGATCTTTTTCAAAAAAATGAAGCGAGATAAGTTGACAAAGAGGGTATATAACGCTAGGGTATGGGGAAGGTATAAAAGTCATCCCAGAAATGATTGGTGTGACGTAGATTTTGAAGCATGAAGCTTAAGTATCCAGGAAACTTGCATGAGGTTGTAATGAGCAGAGATTAAGTGGGTTGTGGGAGTTATTGTGCTTCTGTAACATGAGTAAATTAACATCTATGAGGAGATTAAGGGAAACAGGTTAAGTGCACTTAGTTTTGTAAGCAAGTTGTACAGTGCCTGTTTTGAAAACAGCCAATGTGTTTTAAATCACTATAATAGCTTAATGTTTTTCAATAATGGCTGTCTCCCACCAAGGTATGGTGACCCAGAAATAAAAAGGAAGAAACATTTTCACCATTTCTCACTCAATCACTGTATTGCCAGAGGTATAATGGTTAAGTTGTATTTTAACATTGGTGTCTTGGTAACACTGCAGGGACGAGATCTTCAATCAGCTGTGGCTGAGGGTGTAGTAGCACTTGAAACCTTCTTCAAGAAATGGTACGTAGCAACTACCCCATCTGAGGAGAAACTCTTCACTTCTTTTCACAATCTTCACACCCTGCAAGTAAGTACTGTGTATGTGTTGCTAAACATCAGTAGATATACACGCACACAACTTTGCTTATGGTGCCCCGTAGTATATTTTTTTTACTGACCTGCTACATATCAAGACCATCGTTCAAGTCCCTGTCCATTTTTCTCTTATTTATTGACAGATAATCATTACACCTTACCTTAGAACAGACAAAGCAGACATAGGATCAAGCCTCCATCACATCTTGCATTGAATAGCCCACTTTGGTTTAGCGCTTAATGTGAATTATTTATTTATGACTTACCTTGAATTCATTCTTATCAGTTATTAATGTTATGTCTGGTGCAGGTTCACTACAATCTTTACCCAACACTGGAAGAGTTAGAAGATAAAACATCTTGTAAGAAACTGTTTGAAGAAGAAGTTATCAGCTGGTGCAAAGATGGTAGACTGTTGTGGCTTCGTGAAGACAAAACATTACTCCATCAAGAGAGAGAAGTGGAAGAGGAAATTTCCCCTCTCACTCTTAATAAGGAGAAAAATGCCAAGAGGGGATTGGATCATCTTCAGCACCTGGCATCTCTCTTGGGTATTGCCAGGGGAGACATGTTGTCTTTCTCGGCATCACTAGCTGCCAAGAATGATGATCTGGAAGCTGCTATTCACATATGTCAGTAAGTGGAGATAGACGGTTTTTGGGATTTGACGAGCTGTTGGAATGTGAGCAGGGTAATATTTTGTGAAAGGATTCAAGGAAACTGGTTAGCTGGACTTGAGCCCTGGAGGTGGGAAGTACAAGGCCTGCACTCTAAAGGTGGGATTTGGGATATTTGCTTTTAGACATACTGTACGTATATCTAAACTGCCATCTGTGCACCTCTGACAAGACAGTGATAGTGTGAATGATGATGAAAGGGCTTTTTTTCGGGACACCCTGCTTCGGTGGGAGATGGCTAGCATGTTAAAAAAAAAACTAGTATTATTCATCCCTTCATGCTAGTGAAGGGCTCTTTAGTCAAGGAATTGGAGTTATTTTCCACATTCCTCAGATCACACCTGTTTGCCCAGGTGCTGTATGATAGTTACTACTCCAGTACTTCATTATGAACATATAGTAATACTATCCTTTCATGCAATGAATAATATTGTTAATAATTTTGGATTATATGATTCTTTAGTTCATGTTCTATTGAGAAATTCACAAGCGCTCGCACATCAAACCATCAATACAACAACGATAAAAATATACTAAATTTTATATACAAGAGTGACACTGTGTGTATGAGTGAAATGGACTGTGTGTTAATACAGAGTACCAGTCCTTACAGATGGATCAAAATATACACAGTGCAGTAGAACCCCTGTATCCACTGATTTAGTATCTGCAGTTTCCATTATCTATGCTTTACTATGGCCCAAAAATGCCTCTTAATTATGCATAATAATGGCCCCAAAGTGCAAAAGTAGAAAAACTGGCAGTTCTTCAAAGCCTAAGAGAAGCCATGATACAGGTATCTGAATTATCCTTCCATTCTTTTCTACAAACCTGGAAACTCTTGCCTTCCTTGCAGCAAACCTGGAATCCCTTCCTTTCCTGGCAACAAACTGGGAAACTTGCCATTCCTTTGAAGCTTTATGCCCCTACAGGTTTAGTATTTCCTTATGAATAAAATAATAATCAGCAAGCTTGTGGGTGAATGTTGACAATTTGTTCTTAATGTGCTGTTGGAGTGAGCAAGGTAACTTTTATGAAGGGATTCAGGGAAACTGATTAGCCAGACTTGAGTCCTGGAGGTGGGAAGTACAGTGTCTGCACTCTGAAGATGGGATGTGGAGCTTGAAGTTGAAGGGTCTTCTGAATTTTATCTGTACACTTCTGGAAAGACAACTAATGAAAGAAAGATGGTGAATGTGTTATCTTTTTTGAGTCACCATGCCTTAGCAGAAGACGGCCGTTGAGTTAAAAGTACACATAATAAATAATGTAATAATAATAATATAAAAATGCAAATGTCTTGCCATCGACTATACACTATTAAACTAAACCTTGATATAATTATGGACATATTTGGCCAGACAAAGGTCTAAGTCCACCACTTTCGGTTTTTGTCCGTTAGTAGTAGTGTGCCCGATAAACTCTCCGTTAAACAGACCATGTCTGTTTCATCAAACATTTTAATGCAGTGGATTTTTTTTAAATGGACACCTTTTCCCTCTGTTTGTCCATTATACCCATGTTTCACTCTAACATCCTACTTTGAATGGAATATTAATGTACTTTTATGTGATTACTTTTTCTATTCATTTTCAGAGAGATTTTAGCAGATGCATCAGGCTTGGAGTGCACGGAAGTTATTTATGATGTGGTTAAGCTTACTGTCGAACATCAAAACTTAAAATCGGGCGACAGAGGAGAATCATCAACGCTGAATGCAGCGGCCCTCGAAGAGAGTAGTGGTGGCTCTAAGTCTTGTGCAGACCTTATTAATATTATTTATGAGCTTGTGTGCTCAGCAGTGAGGTCTGTACGTCCAGGTTGGTCCTTTACCTTTGATGAGTTTCAAGAGTCTTTCTACTCCCGGAGAATTCACAGCTAACCCCAGTTTTGAAGAGGAAATTTAGACGAGTTTTTGGTCTATCCTGGACCTCCAACCCTTCCCAGGTGGTATTTGTCATGAAACAATACGATGTGTCCTGAAGCAGGTCTTAACCCTTTGAGGGTCCGTTCCATAGGTCTACGGCTTTGAAGCCAGGGTCCAAGCGGTAATTCTACGCCAGGAGCTCAGCTCACTCAGATAAGCTGTGAGCGGTAAATTTGGGCCTAGATATGAGAGAATACATCTCTGTGGTAGGGGGCACCACATTAAACAAATCCTGGAGCATGAAGTGCATAATGAGAAAAAAACTGCGACTGTATTTTTGGATTAAAACAGCGACTTTGCGGTGTTTTTTGTATGTTTTTTACAGTTGTATTCGTGGTTTCTTGGTCTCATTTGATAGAATGGAAGATATATTACAGAAACAGAGATGATTTTGATTGGTTTTCATACTGAAAATGGCTTGAAATTAAGCTCAAAGTAGCAGAAATGTTCGATTTTTGCTAATGTTCAAGAGTAAACAATTGACGTCAGGCATTCAGTACATGTCAGCTGGTGGGTCTGATATGTGTTCATGAATGTGCTGATATTATCTATACAGTTATTACAATATTGCATAACAGTAAATTTTCTATTTTTTGGTGTGAATAAAAATTCATTATATGAATAAAAAATAAAAATGGAATTCATCTGTAAAGCCTGGAAATGTAACTAATAAACAGAAGAAATGCCATATTAGTGCCAGGAATGCCTGCAGTGTTTACTCTGGACCCTATTTTGAAATTGGAATATTTTGAACTGTGTGAAATTAGCCGAATTACCAATTTCCAATCACTTTGTTGGTTAGTTGAAACAGTTGACTCTGCAATTTCCTGTGCTCCATTGATAAAATAGAAGTGATACTAGCGAAATAGCTAAGAATTTGGTCGAATGGAATAATATAATTGGCCTAAAATGGGAGTCAAAGTGGGCAAAATCGCTGATGCAGCAAAATTAGTGAGAGCGTAATTTCGTCAATTTTCCATCAAATTTTGTACTTTTTATGTTATTATCTTCAGAACAATTCTCAACCATTTCATGAGAAAAAAAATAAAAAAAAAATTTTGAAAATTCTTGGACCCTGTGGACAAGTTGCAGATTGGGGGTCTGGACCCTGAAAGGGTTAATCAGGCGATGACCCACTGCAGGTTAAGTATCCGGTGGTGTACCCCAGCTTGGTTTTGCACCCCATATAAAATACCTAAAGTAGAGGTTTGGGATATTTGCTGGTTGGAGACATCTAAACTTTCATATCTGCATTCCTCTGGTAAGACAGTGATAGTGTGAATGATGCTGAAAGTGTTTCTTTTTCGGGTTACGCTGCCTTGGTGGGAGACGACCAGCATGTAAAACAAAAAAATCACTGCGTGGTATTCTGATAGTGCTAGGAGGCTTGAACATCCAACAGGCTTGTGGAAAGAAGTTAATCAGAATGAGTGGAGACAAGTAGATCTTATGATTTGACATTCTGATGGAGTGTGTTCAGGTAATATTTATAAGAGATTCAGGGAAACCAGTTAGTCAGACCTGAGTCCTGGCCATGGGAGGGAAGTACAGTGCCTGCACTCTGAAGGAGGGGTAGGGATGCTACAGTTTAGAGGGCCATCTGAGCTGTGATGTCAGTGCTCTTCTGACAAAATAGCAATTGAATGAATGATAGTGAATTTTTTTTTTTTTTTTACCCTGTGTTGTTGAGTGATGGCCAGCTTGTTAAAAATAAAAACTCCATTGTAATCCGAGATGGACAGTAAAGTCCCCTCCAAACTCTGGGGTTAATTATGAATTATCCCAGCCATGGTATGTGATTTGTAGTCTGAAGATGAACACAAATTGTTTAGCAGATCATTTGTGACAGTCTCTCTCTTCTAACACATAATTTTAATTTGTGAGACCCCCCAAGACCCTCTCCAGGTATACTCCAGGTAGTTTTCAGTAAAAATGTTGCACATATACCTATTATATCACACTATTTAATAGTAAAATCTTGGCCAGTTGTCTGTACTGTGTCTGTTCTTTCAAAGAGGCACGGAATGAAGATACTCTTTAATTGGGAAACCTGGAGATGATGGCACAAACAGTAGTGTGGACCTGTAAAGTGTATCTAAAGACGTATAAATGTTGTGGGCATGCTTTACGAGCACATTGAATTTATGTTGTATTTTGACTGATTTTTTCACTTGCTGTGTTGTGTTTGTGAAGACAGAAATACATCGAGTGAGCAAGCTGTAATTTAGATAATGCTTTGCTTTAAGGGCAGGTTTTATAAAAGTTATCCTTAGAGAGAAACACTGTCCTAATAAAAGCTTACTCTGATGCATGTAAAGCTTGTTCTACTACCTGTAAAGCTTGTTTTTGTATCCTAGTCTTCACTATTGGCAGTATGCTGTTATTTCCATTTAAACAAATTAGATAAAATATGTATGAATGTTATTCTTGTATGTCCACAGAACTTCTGAATCCTCTCTTGGAACTGGGAACTTGGTGCCAGTTAGGCCAGACCTTGTATCAGCAGTGCCACATGGAGGGCATCTACACCAACACTG